CAACAAATGAATTTATGGATCTGTCTGATGTGGCTTGACATATAGTACTGTACGTGACACATCCTGATCTTCTATTCCTTTGCATGGAGGTTCCAGAGAACACTTATCAGGACAAATGCACATTTCTGCACCATTGAAGATAAGTTAAACGGCAACCTGAGACTGCATGTATGAATATTCATTAAAATTTCACCACAGGCAAAAAAAATCACTGAAAATTCATGTTTTCACATCACATGTCTTTCAAAAAATAAAACACATTGCAGTTGTGATATGAATTATTCTTTGTTTTCCGGAAAGCCTCAAGTGAAGGAAAAGAAAAGCTATTTGTGCTCTGAAAATAATAGAATTGTTTGATGAATATGGCAAATGTCTGAGAACTTACAATTTATTCCAAGGAGGAATTTGGCAATTTTTGTTGCTGTGAAAAGCTGTTTGCTAGCATATATTGGTAATAATTTCAAATGTGACAAAATATGCAGTTTCTCGTGAAGGCATACACAAGTATTTTGGTTAATGGAGCATTACTCACAGACACAGTTCTCAAGTAGTTCAGATTTTTCCTTATCTTCAGTCTCACAACTATGTGTTGCAAAAGCAGTTATAATGTAGGTAAAACATTAGTATTTTAAGGCATGAGGCGTTAAGTAAATGTTCTGCAGAATTCTACTTACGATAACGTGTGGGTATGGATTGGCTTTTAGGGATTCAGTCTTTTGAACACACTATACCAAACCTAATTATTTTTATCTTACTATTTGGGAGAACTTGGCAGCTGTTTAATTCAATTTCTTTGGACTGTACTAGACTTCAAATACAAAAGCAGTGGGTCAATTTGTGCTGAAATCAGCCAACAGTAGTGAAAAAGTCCTACGGAACTTATAAAAGAATGATAACTTTTCTACAGAATTTGTAAGCCATCCTGTAGAATTTGATGGTAAGAATATAGTACTTAGATTTGTAGAATAATTTATATTCATTATACATACACATACCTGCACACCTCAATTATTATTAAGTCCTATTGTCTATTAGGAGGCAGTGTGTAGCCCAATGGATACGGCTTGGGGCCCAGATCCTTCCAGGTATTTAGCCACCTTTCTGCCTCATTAAGCACCTAAATCCTCCGTTAAGTTGCCATTGACATTTTCAAAACCACAGCTCAGCTGCTGCCTAATCCCAGAGGTGCCTAAGTCCCCAAGGTGCCCAAGTTTAAACTTACTGGCATTTGTAAAGCCACCTAAGTGCTGAGATTGCCCTGCTGGTAACAAGCAATTCAGAGTCTCTGCTCAAGCCAAAGCCCTGAAAATCCCAAAGTGGAATCTCAAACTAGGCGGGGGAATAACAATCCTGCTAATGGGACCTGATCCCATAGGTAGGCTCTACAACTACCTAAACCTGATACCTGTCAAGGCAGGAGGGAAGAATGCAGGTCATCAATATGTGGGGCTTGCGGAGCACAGCTCCTGCACAGAAGACACATGGGGGCACATGGAAACATAGGGCCAGAGTTAGAGAGAAAGAGACATGGTTTTGGCTGCTTGGGCATAGGCTAACTAAGCAGCAGACCTGGCTTAGGCACCCAACTCCATGAGAGGGTTTGTGACTGAAGATCCCAAGCAGAGGGAAGCACCTATCTCTGGTTCATCAGCCAGGCACACTAGGCTGGCCCCTTAGGGTATGTCTACACTGCGTCCAGCCCAGGTTGACAAGCTTGGGTTAGTGGGGCTCGCACTAGTGCTCTAAAAACTGCTGTGTAGACAGCACTTTGAAGTTGCAGCCCAGGCTGGAGCTTGGGCTCTAGAGCCCATCACTGTCCATAATCTTCAGAGCCTGAGCTGCAACTTCAAAATGCTGTCTACCAGGGCCGGCTCCAGGCACCAGCTTAACAAGCAGGTGCTTGGGGCGGCCAAGGGAGAGGGGCGGCACCTGCGGCAATTCGGGGGCGGCAGGTCCCTCACTCCCTCTAGGAGCGAAGGACCTGCCGCCGAACTGCCGCCGCCGATCGTGGCTTTTTTTTTTTTTTTTCAATTGCTTTGGCACCCAAGCCCCTCTCTTCACCCCATTCCTCTCCTTGCCATTTCAGTCCCTGCTATCTGCGGTGACTCACAGCTCAGCTTGCTGGCTTCAAAGGATGCCTTCCTTATGTGGCTAACTTGTCTGAGCAGCCTGGGCCTAACTCAGGGCTGATGATTCCACTAGGCAGTAGGGCTCTGAGTGGAGCATCACCGCAGTACTTTTAAGGATCTGAGACCACGCTTCTATTCCTGGCTCTGTTACTGGCCTGCTGGGTGACCTCAGGCAAGTCACTTAACCTCACAGTGCCTCAACTTCCTCATCTGTAAAATGGGGATAATGATCCTGCCCTCTTTTAAGTGCTTTTAGATATATGCAATATACAAAATTATTATTATAATCTCCAGGATTTTTGAGTAATTTCTCTAGAAGCATCCTTACTATCCATGGATATCTATTTCATTTCTATAGTATACTGAATTTCTATAGAATCCTATTGGTCTCATCCCTATTAAATTCTCTACCATTTTCCATTAGGGATTCTATTGTTCAGAAGGTGCATTGAAGCGTAGTCAGACAGGGGAAAACAACTGAGTTGTATTATTCTTCAAGTCCTTTGGGAATGTCTCTCCCATATACAGCTAGTCCTCTTTAGATTCTAATGTAGTCCAGGACATAAAGGATGGAAACTACTGGAATGTTTGAAGGTCACTATTAAAATAATTAGAGGATATTATTTGTGTTTTATTTTTAACTTCTTTACTGTTAGTCCCCTGCTGCTCTTGACCATCACAAAAGCTTCCTTTTTCTTCTTAAAATGGTTGTATACTCTACTGAGCGGTTCTCAAACTTCATTACACCACGACCCCCTTCTGACAACAAAAATTACTACATGACCCTGGGTGAGCCCTGCCGCTCCGTGTGTGTTTGTGTGTGTGTGGGAGGGGGTGGGGGGGTAGAAGGGGGCGCGGGGCAGAGCCCCGCTGCCCCAGGCTCAAGCCCTCAGGCTTTGGCTAGCCCCAGGCCCCAGTGAGTCTAATTCTGGCCCTGTCAACCCCATTAAAATGGGGTTGTGACCCACTTTGGTGTCCCAACCCACAGTTTGAGAACCACTGCCTACATTCTCATGCTAGTGGTGATGTGCCAGTGCATCTGGGTGTGGTCTTACACTGGCCCTTAAATGACCTGGTGTTTGCATAGGAAGCTACAGGCAGTGATTTAGAAACTATGCCAGCCCCAGTAGGAAGGGGATGGGGTAGGGACTTTGACCTGTGCCTTTTTACGAAGCCGCTGTTTTCTCCTATGCACATGACATTAAGAAGGTAGCCATAGACCTTATCCATGCAGTGTTCTGCCCCTACATGGCAATAACATGGCAATATCAATCCTTATACAATGGAGTGCAATCCTTGACCCCAATGCTGGGTGGTTCACCTCCACTACCTCACAACCTGGGATTGAGTCACCATCAGTTCCCAGGGGCGTTATTTTCCTATTGCAGGAAATGTGTCATTCAAAGGCAATTACTGTACTCATATATTGGGTGGAGGCAGGGGCTCACTGACAATAGTGCAGCATGCTGTCCCTGAAGGCATCAGGTAGTCTCTCCTTCCCTTTGAAATAGTTTTACTAAGTCACTCATCATTGAAGGGAACATTGCAAAGTACAACAGACAATAATTCCTTCCTTTCCCTCTCGATATGCTGTCCAGACACAATTCAATTTCTTAATTTCCTCTTACCTCTGACCACTCTACCCCTTTCCAAATCACGTTGGCTCATGATCCCATCACAATAATCCATCAAATTATTCAATTTAGTTTATCGTTTCCTTGCTCTAAGCATAGCCTGTATTCATAAATACAAACTTTGGTTACTTTTGAACATTATGTGCATCGTTTTGTATGCTCTACAGTGCTGAGATTAAGTGCTATGTGCTACTGGGTGTAGCAGATCTCTCTTAAGGGTGTAGACAGGCATTAGAGTCTAACTCTGATGCGGGAAAGGTTAAGATTAAAAAAAAGAATGCTTTATTTAATTTTTATTTGCCCTTTCTCTGATTATTGCATCCATGCACAGCAGGACTGAAATTATTATTCAGCAGTTCATGATCTCATGCTGGGACTGCACTTGGCCTCAGCCTCCTCCCCAACAACAGACTACGCATGAATTATTTATAATTCACTCACAGTTTGTTGCAGTTGCCACATTTGATTTTTATGGGTATTGTTGATACCTCTGCCAAGGGAACTGCATTCTAATTCTACATGAGTTAAAATGAGAGGGTGAACTACAGGCCACATTAAAATCACTGGGAGCTTTGCCATTGACTCCAGTGGAGCCAGGATTTTACTCAGCTTGTCTAGAAGCCTGAGCGGAGGACTCGGAGTTAGGAATAGAGTATTCTCAACTCTGCCTCTGACTTGTTGTGACAAGGTGCGTGTGGTCTCTCTAATATCCTGGGAACAACATGCCTACAACTACACTGTATCTGACTCACTTTGTCATCTCTGGCAAGTCGCACACTGCTTGCTTTTCCAAGGTGCTGAACACCCAGAGATTCAATTTATTTCCTTCAGCAGAAGTATCTACACTGTAGGTACAATCATCTACATTAGACATGTGATAACCATTGTCAATTCTACTAAAACCATATAAATCAAATGAAAAACACCATGAGGTTGAACAGATTATCAGACAAAGATCCTATACAAAGGCAATGTCAAAAACACTTTATTGCAAATGCCAAAATGTTGTCCATAGTTACTGAAATAAAATTACTATTTGATAAACCATGTTTTAGAGAACAAAAAAACCTGGAATTCCAAAAGGTTTTTTATTTGGTGAGAAAACCAAGGAGAAGATCTATTTACAGCCCATCTGAAATATCTAAAAAAAACCCCAAAATTACATCAGACTAATTTTTTTTAAGAGAAACAAAATAATTTTTTATTCAGACTTACTTCGATTTTCTTCTCTCTCTAGGTATTACGACAACTTCAGCCTCTGCACAGAACGGGAAGCCATCGCCGCGAGATGCTTTTGGCCAAACCGACTCGCACAGGGCTTCATCATTGGAATTCATAAACAATTCTTTTCAAACTGTACATCAGAAAAGGTCCACTGGGAAGATCCACCGGATGAAATTCTCATAACTCTGATCTTAATCCCAGTATTTCTGATGGTTACCATGATATCTCTAGTGGTGTGGTGCAGTAAGAGAAGTGACATTCTAGTGTAAGTCATGCCTCCTGGCTTTTCTCATCCCATTCCTCTCTCTCTCTCTCTTTTTTTTTTTTTTTTTTTTGGTAACGAAAAGAAGAATCAGAAATATCAGATCTGCTGTGTTCTAACCTGTCAGGTACTATGGGAGGAAACTGTCCTGTACTCAGAGAAGCATTCTGCCTCTATCTAAAGTCAATGCTTCTATACTGCAGGTTTTTAATGTTGCTTATGCAAAGACACCTTTTTTCCCCTCAAAACCGATAATCACAGCTAATGTGAATGGAATTCACATTCAGTTCTGGATAACGGGAGACTTATGATGGAAAGTGAACCTGCTAACTTCAGCAGAGGTAAAGTTTCTTACCCAAAGTTAAAGCTGGTCAATAAGCATCGTTTTCCAGTATGTGTGTGCATATACACAATGGGTGATTAATTTGTAATACTGACAGTGAGGCTCTTTTGAAATTTTTATGCTGGACACTTGAGGTTTTCATTTGTGAACCTTGTGACTTGAATGGAAATTTGTCACCAAAGGAACTTAACATGGATGTTGCTGAGGGACACTTTCTTGGTGGAGAATAAAAACCACACCCTACCAAGGACTGGAAGTATTGTCTTGGTAAGAAACAATTCATATGGCCAATGGATTATCCTTGTGGAGAAGAGACTGTGCTAGGTTAAGTAGTTTTTAAAATGTCCTTAAAGATGACTTCTTAGAGCTTGCTGGCTTGAGAACACACTCCAGGAAGGATGCAGGCTTTTCCCTAGAGGTGGAAAATGAGAGGAAATGGGGTCACCGTGAATTTACCAAGGGCTGGTGAAGGAACTGTCATATGCCAGACCTATCATTTTATTTTTTTAATTATTATGCTTATGTTGATGAGTGTATTCACTGTGTGCTCCTCATTCTCACTTCACCCTGAATCTTTTGTGCAAGTGATGTCCTGTAAATAAAAAAAGATAAGAAGCTATGTCAATTGAGGTGCCTTTCAGTGTTTGAATACTTCATTTTTCATCACCTACAGAATGTGGAAGCTTATGTTGTTAACAGCAAGGCAGTTTGAATGATGCTTGGAATTGACAGAGGACAGAGAAATGGAAACAGATTCCATTCAACAAGTTTATATTCGTCATATTCCTCTGTAATGAAATATTTAGATACAGTATGCTCCAAATAAAATAACTTTAGTCCCTATTGAAAACTTTTCTTGTCTGTCACATGAAGTGTCCTCCAAGCCAAATATTCTGTTTTTACAAGTGCTCAAGATCTCTTGCTCATGAATACACATTCTCATACCTCACACGCTTAAATAAAGTACAGCTAGTGGTGTCTTCTACATGTATTAGTTAGATAGTCTTCTTTAAGATTTTGTTCTAGTAGATGGGATGCGGGTCCACGTGAACAAAGTGTTGCTGGGTCTCAACACAGAAGTGCTCCCTGTATGAAAATCACATATACGTGGAAAGTTACAGTACCTATATATCTTGGTTTTCACATTCTTTCCCAATATTTTAACATAATACAGATATGCTTGTATTCCTATCAGATTGGTTATATTGGTAGGAATGACTGGTTATGTCAGATATTTCCTATGTATATTATAATAGATACTGATTCATTCTGTTCTTTGATGCTAATAAGTTAATATTTGTAAAATGTTTGAAGAAGAAAAGTGATGTGTTAAACATTTATTATATTTAACATAAAGGTAAGAAACAGCTATTAAGGAGTCTGGTATGTTATTGTCATTGTGCATTACCTAGACTGGCCTTGGAAACTACATGATGGTGAAAGTATGTTGTGTTTTGATTACACCTCCTCAGAGGATAACGATTATGCTCTTAAACCAAAAATTATCTTTAAATGAACTGGTTTCCAAATTCTATTCAATTATCTTCATTTGTTTTGTTTCACATTTTCCCCATAGCCTAGGGCTAAAACTTTCAAAAAAGTGACCAAGTCCCTCAGGCATTTTTGAAAATTATACCCTAGATTATATAATTTAAAATGAAACAGAATTGGTACCATCCCATCAGAGACGTAGGAAAAGAGTATGGAAAAAAATGACGGATTTTTGCTTCACAGCTAATAATGCTCAAAAAAGACAATTTTGCAGACACAGAAATATCAATTTTCCCTGGATGTGAAACCTGATACAATCCTGTTCAAGATCTCTTCCAAACAGATTAGGACCTTCCACTATTGTTGACAACGTAGTGAGAGCATTTAAAGAAACGAGTGGGAAATGCCATTGGCAGTCAGTCTATCCAAGGCAAGACTGCCAAGAGTCTGCTGAAGCACTTCTAGCACCCAGAGAAGCAGAGAGCAGGCTGTCCAGCCTCTAGCAACTCCATTATGTTAATAAGAAGCAACGGAGACACGTGAATCTTTTGACTTCACATAGGTTGTGCTGGGGAGGTAGAATGTGGTCCATGGTTAGTGAAGGAAATAGTCAGGACTCCTGAGTTCTCATCCTGACTCTACAAGTGATTTGGGGCAAGTCATAAAAAAATCTCTGTTCCACTTCTGTTTAGAGCCTCCTGGGTCCTGTGCTAAGCAAACCTTTTCTGGGTCCAAGACTATTTGATAGTTGCAAATTAATTTTATATTACAACAGAATCTCAGAGGAAAATGGACAGACTAAAAAAACCCAAACAAACTCTCAGTGAAAAAATCCTATTTAGAATTGGAGTAGAGTTCACACAGGGGAACACTCTGTGAGGAAAAATCAGAAGACAGTGCTAACACCAGAGGAGGATTAGCATCCTTGCTAAGCAGTTTTGAAAAGACAAGTAGTACTACTGGTACGAGGAGGCAGAAACATAGATGCTTAGGGAACTGCCAAAATGTAGATGCTGAGCAAGCTTAGGCACCTACAGGGTTCTGTGGCTGTTGAATGGGGGTTTTGTGAATCCCAGCGGGGTCCAATTCTGGGATTTAGGCATCTAAAAGTGGCAATTAGGCACCTAAGTCCTTTTGTGAATCTAGCCGTTAGTGGGATTTTCAAAAGCAGCTTGGTACCAACTCTCATGATTTTAATAGATGATAGGTATCCTAGTTCTCTGCAAAATGGCCATGCTAGCATTTCCCTACCTCACAGGGGTAATGTGAGGATAAATAATTAAAGACTGTCAGGTGCTCACATACTGCAGCAATCAGGGTCATGGGTACAATAGGTGCCAGATTGACATAAATAAATAATAAAAAAAAAATCAATGGCAGCTGAATGCAGGGAGAGCTTTTAGAATTGAGTCCATTAGGTGGCATCTTTTCTATTGCATCAATTATTTAACAAGAATAGCGGAGTACAACACAGAGTAGTGTAATTCATTAGCAGTAACCTTTTATATTTGCAGGGATACAGTTTTATTACGCTCTACTGTGAGCTTTCACAAAGTCCTTTTGACATCTTCATTCTCATGATGCTTCTGGTTAATTTAAAAGCAATTTTTGGAAGACAGTTTCAGGAACATTAAAGATGCAAAATGATCATGCAATGGAAGCTATTATTACCTTAGAGGTTGTTTGTAACTGAAATTCCTTGATTTGTATGGTAACTAATGGCACTATTCCATGGAGTGCCCATAAATGTACCATCTCAGTAAACAGATAGCTACTGCCTGGGAACACAGATATCACCTCCACTGACATTGTGCTTTTAAGGATATTGAAGCCTTTAAAAAACTTTTACCATGTATCTAATAAGCGATTATACTTCAAAGCTTAATGACCGTACCATCTTCTCACCATGAATTACAATGTGAAAAACCAAGCTGTGGAAGCACAGTGGGCCATGCACACAGGAGACTAGCTAATCCCCACCTCCCTTCTCAAGAATACTTCAACGGGAATGTCACACACAGCTCATCCTTCAAGAGGATGAGCCTGTACTTTGCATGTGGTTTAACTGTGTACACAGATCCTGTAGAGAACAAGTACAGTTTTATATACAATATATACCCACTCAATCTTGGACAGGCACACTCATTCCAAATGGACAGTTGGTAGTAGGGATGTGGCTGTCTCTGCACATCCCATCTGTTAATCTGTATGGTAGAGCCTCCTTCTGGTTTCTAGAATATGCCATTTCACTGCTTCTCAGGAACAGAGTGCCAAAGGGAGCAATAGAAGCAATGACATGGGGATTGGCTAATTGCTTACCTAGAGAAGCCCAGGCTTGCAGTTGTGTCTGGTCAGATTCCTACTGCAGCTTTACCTATATGTGGTACATCTTACCACCTAAATTTGGAGAGGGCTGTCATGCTGATTGCACTTTGGCCTCCAAGGAGGTGGATCCACAAAGGTACTTAGGCACATAAGTTCCATTTTGAGGCTTCACTGCAACTCACAAAACTCTTGCCAAACACTGTAGGTGCCTAAGGTTCTTCCTCTTGGGCATGTGCCCTGCCACCTCACTCTAGGTGTCCAGAGGTGTATCTCTCGCCTATGCCTCGGAACGATTCATGAACAAGGGGCAAGACAGGCATTTGGCCACCTAACTCAGAGGTAGCCTGCCAGATGGGGTCCCACTCAAAATCTGGCCAGAAATCAGGAGCCCACCTAACAACTTTTAGCCCAGTGGTTAAACCACTAATCTGGCATGTGGGAGATCCAGGTTCAATTCCCCCATCTCTGCCAAGAGTGGAGGGAGAGGATTTGAGCAAGGATTTCCCACACCTTTCCCACACTGACATATAGCACAGTCAAGTGAGTGGGTAGGGTCTCTCCTGTTGAAGCTGTTCCACTGTGGATAAATAAGAGAAATTAGAGCAGGGGGCAGGACCTAGGGTCTCCCACCTCCTGTGTGGGTGCCCTAATCACCAGGCTACAGAATCAGTTATTCTCTCCCTCTTTGGCCCAATGACTGCTCTGCTGTGGATAAATACTTAATAGTTCCCCCCCCGCATCAGCATGTCCTATAGCTCAGAGTTCATATCCCCTCTCCTCTCTAGCAGACAAGAGGTGATTGAACCTGGGTCTCCTGCATCCTAGATGAACGTTCTAACCACTGGGCTAAAAATCATAAAGGTGGACACCTCCTCTGACTGTTGTGTGTGGAAGGATTTAAGGGGGGGGGGACACCCCCTGCTCCTCCAGCCATGTTGTGTGGAACAAGGCAGGCACTAAAATCATTCCTGCACGAACCACTTTAGGCACCTAAACCAGCTGACTTCAGGAGATGGGTTCCTGTTTGTGGATCATTTTGAAAAAGAGGCTCTTACATCTGAAGGGAGGCACCTAACTTAGTGAGGGGGCAGGTATTAGCACACACCTGTCTCATAAGCATCTCCTATTGGCTAGCTTAGGTGGCTCCCCACTTAGCATGCTGGATGGATCAAATCGTGGTGTCGCCCAGGGGTAGGGTGACCAGATGTCCCGATAAAATCGGGACCGTCCCGATATCTAGGTGTTTGTCTCGCGTCCCACGCAATTCGTCCTGATATTTCGTGGTACTCTTTTTTTCCCCCTCCGCCGGCGGCAGTCCACTTTTTTTTTTTTTTTGGCTCCGCTGGTGACCCCCCGCCCATGTGTCCCGATATTTTCTTCCTCTCATCTGGTCTGTACTGGGACCAGTGCTGTTCAACATGTTCATAAATGATTTGGAAAAAAGGGGTAAACAGTGAGGTGGCAAAATTTGCAGGATGATACAAAACAACTCAAAATAGTTAAGTCCCAGGCAGACTGTGAAGAGCTACAAAAGGATCTCGCAAAACTGGGTGACTGCGCAACAAAATGGCAGATGAAATTCAATGTTGATAAATGCAAAGTAATGCACATTGGAAAACATAATCCCAACTATACATATAAAATGATGGGGTCTAAATTAACTGTTAACCACTCAAGAAAGAGATCTTGGAGTCATTGTGGATAGTTCTCTGAAACATCCACTCAGTGTGCAGTGGCAGTCAAAAAAGCTAACAGACTGTTGGGAATCATTAAGAAAGGGATAGATAATAAGACAGAAAATGCATATTGCCGCTATATAAATCCATAGTATGCCCACATCTTGAATACTGCGTGCAGATGTGGTCAGCCCGTCTCAAAAAAGATATATTGGACTTGGAAATGTTTCCGAAAAGGGCAACAAAAATGAGTAGGGGCATGGAATGGCTGCCGTATGAGGAGAGATTAATAAAACTGGGACTTTTCAGCTTGGAAAAGAGCTGACTAAGGGGGGATATGATAGAGGTCTATAAAATCATGACTAGTGTGGAGAAAGTAAATAAGGAAGTGTTATTTACTCCTTCTCATAACACAAGAACTAGGGGCCACCAAATGAAATTAATAGGCAACA